CAGTTGGCTCGGGTGCTGAAGCGACGTAGATGGCTTGGTGACTCTCACTGTCAAGTAAGTATGCGTGCCCGCTAGTGTCATAGCGCAGACTGCCCGGTTTGCCCGTGGCAGCTGTAGGCTTGGGGGCCGTGCCTTTTCCGGCAGTAGAAGAGCCTTTGGCTTCACGAGCTGCGCGTTTACGGGCGAGAACCTCATCTCGTTTGCCCTCCATGGCGCCGCCCTTGCCAAAGCAGTCCCGCGTGGGATGGCTGGTGTTACCACAGGTGCCACAAGGCACACGATCACGGTGAGTGTTACCCCCCTTGCTTGTGGTGGCCAGTACAACATCCCCACCCTTAGATTTCTCGGTGTCGATAAGCTGTTGTTCGACGTCGAGGCGCGAGCGAATATTGGACGGACCATAGGGATTGTTGGACGTGCTAGTAGCGAGAGCGTCAGCGATGTGGTTACGCACGTGAGGAAGGTCTTCAGCCATGGCATTAAGCATCATAATGGTGAGGAAGTCTTCCTCCTTGGGTATACCAATGGCGTATATACGCCGAACGAGGTCGTTAAGGATAGTGCTCGTGGTAGAGAGACGTTCAGAGCGAAGGTATTTGACCGCAAGGGCCTGTTGAATGAGGATGATCTGTGCGATTGGGCTGACTTTCTCATGGCGGGACTTGAGAGCATCCCATGCGAGGTAAGCGTTGGTGAACCCTCGAAGGAACTCGTTCTCCTCAGGACTTGAGCGTGTGCGTAGAGCGGCCACAATACACAAGTTGTTGAGGTCCCAGTGACCCGCGCTGGAGGGGTCCAGTGATGGATCGGGGCGAGTAACGAGGCCTAAGATATAGCCACCTCCATGCTTGAGAAGTAGGTAGTTTTGCATGCGGTCGGACCAGACGCCCCAGTTGTTCTTACTACGGTCTAGGACTTCAATTTTATCTAAGTCGGTTTGGCTGAGCGTGATGGCCGTAACGGATGCTTGGAGTGAAGACATGGTAGCTGTAGGCACAACGGCGGACAGTGGGCTGAGAGTAGCGGCTTTAGCGCCTGAGCTTCGAGAGCGGGTATGTGCAGTTGATGGCATGAGGACAAGAGGTGGGAGATGGACAACGGACGACTCGCAGGTATATATATGTGCTCGTTGATAGCCGCGATCGACTCTCCATGACCAAAGAAGGAAAGATTAGACGTTACGATGACGTTGATAGAAGTCGACAAGATGTCCGAGGGTTTAATAACCCAGCGGGGTCGTTCCTACTAAGGCCCGTTGATGTACCTAGTTGCTTGTTTTAAGAGAGAGCAGGGCTCATAACCTATAAAGACTAGATACTACGTTAGCCCTCAGTTGTGATGGAACAGACTGAGATTATCAAGTACCTAGATACTACGTTAGCCTAAGCGGTCGTTAGCATCTAGGGCGGTTCAAGTAACTAGAAAAGGCTTACCCTCAGTTGTGATGGAACAGACTGAGGGAAGGTGAGAACGTGAATTGGTATATGTATGGTGGTTCAAATTCCAAAGTTCAACTCTGCTTATCACGTCGATATGCGTAGCATCAACAAGAGGCGGAGGTGATAAGTCTATAGGAGTCAATCCTAAGACTAGCGGAGGACGACGAGAGGAGAACTCAAGTCGGACGGAGGAGGGAATGAGCAGAGTCTAAGATAATATTCGAACTGAGGAACTACAGAGACTGTACAGGGTTTATATACTACTGAGGACATAACGGAGAACAGTCAGTGCAGTGCGAGGCTATGCAAGGCTATGGAGAAAACATATGGGACGACTATCACTAGTCTATCGGAACTTAGTAAAATGAAGACGGAAATGAATAAGGAACGGAAAATAAAGCATACTAGCTGATAAGGGAAATACCAAAGGGAAAAGGCATGGAAGATAGGAGCTGACCAGATCCGGAAGTCCGGAAGTCCGGAGATGATTGCATGATTGGTCCGGGTCCGGAACACGGGATATGACAGAAATCACAATCATTGTAGGGAGGAAACAAGATATGATGATAGAAACAGCCACTGCTGGTGATTTTACCACAAACACCAACTCCACTGACGTTACAGCAAGAATTCCAACCACTGGGATTGTGTGCAAAATTCCAAAAATTACTGCTCCAAGCTGCTGTGGTTTTAGGTGCTTGTGTGTGAATGAATGACTTGAAATGGATCCTGATATTGACTGAAGGCTACAAAAATAGCAGAATGTTGATTGGAATGTTAGGGATAATCTGATTAGGATTGAACTAACACTAGAAATGCCATGAGCTGTGAAAAAGAGGTTGAGTAAGGGACTGTGGCTTTCAGCAATGTGAACACTCGCTATATTCAGATAAGTCTTCCTGGGCAGTTTTGTAAGTCTCTAGCAAGGACAGGAGATACAAGTTGGGGAGTAGAATGCATTGTGGTCTGAGATGATGCAATAGTCTTGTCCTGAAACATTGTCTTGCAGAGGATAAAGAAATGTATGAGTGAATCATAAATCTGCAGCACTTTTATACAGATGGAATAAGCTTTCACATCCAGACAGTAATCCACAGTGTCTCCATAGCTCGCAGAAGTGCAGGGCCAATCACTCCTGCGGACATATTGCAACCCCCATAGTAAACCCATAAATAGTTATGTCCTCATTGATATACATTCACAGTGTCTTGGATTTGTGATTCTGCTAACAGAAAATTAGATAGAATTGAATGGATAAGTACACCATGTTCATGACAAGGGCTAGACTATTCACACTCTGGATCTAGAACTAGACCGTGATTAATATCCCAGAAATTTGAAGTGCTACAGGAGCAAAAGGAGAAATATAGTAAACAAGTTCTGTTACTGCCCATTGCATCCCTAAAGAAGCTGCGTTTGCCGATTGAACATAGACACTCAATGAGTCTAGACCCTTGGGGCAGGATGCATAATGATCCAGGCCAGGGACAGATATTGAGATGAATGTGCTTTCATTTATATCTGTCCCTAGTACATGCTTGCTGTACCAATGCTGTACAGAAAGGTGAGCATAAGATATGACTTCAGCGGGCTAAATCAGTACCTGTACAGTACAATGCGCTATTTCAGAATAGGTCAGCCTGGGCAACGCTAAGATAGTACCTCAAGAACTGATGGGCCACAAAGCCTACAGTGAAAGGCATGAGCACAGGAGCCAATGACCATCCACGATTACAGCAGGTGGGCGGGTCACTGTCAGTAAACTGGTGAGCCACTGATATTCCCAGTATGGTCCTCAGGGTTCCTGCATGTTCTCAGATGAAGCATATATGTAACCAGGCCTTGAGGACCAGGTGCATATCCAGGTGCATGATTCTTCTTGGCTTCATCAGATACACTCTGATGCTAGCAAGACAAAGATACTGCAAAGTAAGAACAGTGAGTGTCGACATGGATGGCTATTAGCAGAAAATGAGCAAGAGGTAAGCAAGGGCGGTGTAGCACTCAGGCTTGCACTGAGCATGTATTCAGCTAATTCCCAATGCATGTCAAACACTCAAATCACTTCCCAATGTTATCCAACACTTACCTGCTCAATCCGACATTTATCTGCTAACCCGACACTAACCCGACGTAGTCTGAAGCTGACCCGACAGACCCGACATTTCCCGCACATCGGACCCAATATTTTCCCACACACTTGTCCTCCCTATGTCCTGTCCTATCGTATCTATCCCCACTAGGTGTGCAGTTATCTGTTTTCACATTGCTAACACTGTAGACCGTGTTATTACATGTCCGCAGTACCACATGTCTTATTACATAGGACATCGAATCCGAAAATTACCGCTACTACTTTCGCCTATAGCGCTCCGAAATTCTACATAGACACTATATATTTTGCATACCTCCTACTTACTTATTTACCTTTCTACCTCTGAGTAGGAGGAGGTCATTAGATATTCGTAGTTCTTGGTTGAAAAAATAAAGGTAGAACGATATGCAAATAAGAGAAATGGAAATATATGCACTAGAGAGCTTGGTGGACAGTGGATGGATGCTTCTGGATGGCTGGCACTATAGGGTGCTCAAGCACAGGAAAGCATGCGTGCATATACATCGTGAAGCATGGGAATGTGTGCGCATGTTGCACGTTGCGCGGGAAAGCTGCGCCTCATATAGGAATAGCTGCGGATAGCATGCAGAGTGATGCTACAAGTTTGTGCCATGTACTCCCTAGTGAAAACTGCCATATCACACAATGAGAGGCACGAGTCTCTACACTGGGTGATGTTGCTGGTTCAGTTTCCACAACTCTGGGGATCTCGACTGCAGCGCAGGAGCGGTAGTGTATCGTCTTGTTGAACCACAGGTGATCCTTGATTCTCAGATTGTTGTCTATCATGGATGTCCAGTCCGGTATTATCTGAAAGATGGCAACCTTTGAACACTCTCGCACAATGGCAGCACATGACAGTAGCTGTGGGGAGAAGGATGTGGCATTTCCTCCATGAAGCTTTAAGTCTTTCGCCTGTGCCCGAATATGTTAGTATAGATGACATGACCCTGTGTGAGCGAGAAAAATATTCACCACATGTCTGGCAATCTCATCCGATAGTCTGAGAACCTCTGGATGACCTTGCTCCAACATTGTGCACCGCTTGATCAGCAATTGCACGGCTGCCAGTGTATTATTCAATGCTTCATTAGCTATGTCCACGGGTGTCATGTTGATGTTAAAAAATACTGAAGTGTTGTAAGGTAATGGGTGCGATGGTATAACAGAAGGAACAAAAAGTTGACTTTGAAAAAATTGCCATGGGTCGGAATTATATTGATACGTTGGTTGTGGTTCTTTCCGTGCAAAACCAAAAGATATCATTATGACATAATAGTATCACCACATCCACCATTGTTTTATTTCATTGAGTTACCACAGTGCCACCCGTCCAATTGTATTTCAATCATCATCGACTTCCTTTCTCCAACCATACCATCATGACCATATGAAAAGTGCAGTTTTTGACTCCCGAACAGCTGTATCTTGGCAATACCACCTCCATGCCCTCTACCTACAGCTGCAATGACAATAGAGACAGTTTGGCAGCACCACAGTGTGCTTTGGACAAGGGTCTCATTGGCTGGTTGGGCTCTTATGTCCCTTTGGAATCGTGGAGTCCTCCCACATTAAGGAAATCTAGGCTAAAAGGACTGGTCAGTTTAGAAGACTATCCGAGATTTAAAAGTGAGAATGACCCGCGCTTAGGTGGAATACTAACAATGGTTCGACGACAGAGTACAACTTGGCACTCAAATTTCCCACTGACTACCAAAGGATAGATGATCCATTGACAGAAAGGGATCAAGGTGAGTACATGCAAGATCAGTTATTTCCACTAACCAATGCACCATAGTATACGAGCTGTGTTTCAATGGCTACTTCAACGAGATCGGAAGTATGCTTACCAGTGAGCTTTGCCTTTTATCCTGGTTCCTTCCCTATCGAACAAGCCTTTCAAGACATATATGCTATGGAATGCAAGCAAATGTTTGGACACATTTCCCGGACACTGGAAAGAGCTTCAACAACTCCCGACGGCATGTGGCCACCGGAATACTCCACCGACAAAACAACAGCCACTGGAAGTAAGCACCATGATCCCCACAACTGTGGGTGGAATGATCCTAGTTCGGGTGAGATGGCAGAAGATCCATACAACTGTGGATGGGGCCAGACCATTGTGCAATCAGGTGAGTCGCCAGATGCCTTTGACTGTGGTTGGGATGATCCTGTGGATGATTGAGGCATTCTGCAATCGGGCGAGTCTCCCACAGATCCTTATGATTGCAGTTCGGATGATCTGATGGATGATCAAGGTGTCCTGCAATCAGGTGGGTCGCTGGCAGACGTTTATGACTGCGGTTGGGATGATCCTATGGATGATCAAGGCATCCTGCAATCTGGTGAGTCGCTGGCAGATGCCTACAATTGCGGATGGGATCATGCCATGGATGATGAAGGTGTCCCAGGTGAGTCAGAGGCAAATGCTGATGACTGCATATGGCATTCCCTTATGCTTCATGAACCTATTGTTGTTTGTGTGGCCAAGTCTGTCGAAGACCCATATGATGTGGGATGGGACAATGACATGAATGGGACGGTTGCCTCTCTGGATGTGATGGAGGGATATTGTGGTATGGATGCATCCCAAGATGAAAGGTCGGTAGGCAAGGATCCATATGACTGTGGATGGGATGCTCCAGAAGTCGGAGGACAAATCGTGACTGGCGGTGATACTGCAAATCAGTTTGCCTATTGTAGCGCGGAAGCCGGTGTGTGATTACATATAAGTATTGCATTATAACTTCTGACTTTGTGTAGATCAATGGCCAAGTTCGCTTCCAGAAAATGAACTGAATGTCTTTGAGTATGCAGAACACTCCATGCAGTGCACCATCCAAATCTTGCAAAACAAGCGGGATGATAATTGTAAGTCTTCAGATTTCACATTGGCCACTGTTGACCTATTTGGTAGTTGACCTCAATGGAAACACAATGGTACCACCTGCCGGGCATGTTTGCGACCCCATGTCCACACCGACATGCATCACAACTCAAGGCTGTATGAAGAAATACTCAGAAGCAACGAATAGAGTGACAGAACTGGGTAATGAAGTCGCCACCGTCCACCGTTTACTGAATGTCTACTGCCGCATTATGACACAGTTGGACTCCATGATAGCACACTGCAAACAGGAGTGACCAGCCTATATAGCAAAATGATGATATTTATGAGAAATAATATTCAGCAGATATTGATATCACCACATATGTATGAAGGCCAAGAGTCACTGAGCTAATCAAATCTCGAAATTATATGGTCAGCGACATCATATGTGGTGAATGGCCATGCAGTGATTTTAAAAATGGAACAACAGTATATGGATGCAGCGGGTGTATGAAAATGATGCGAAAACTCCCGGTAGGATTATGTCCGGTACCGAGCAAAATCAGCCTGATTGTATCTGGCTAGGTGGTATATCGCAAAGTCAGCCAAACTATATTTGGCGTAATCTGTATGTGGAGTTCGAGCATAGTTATGCACGCTATCCCGCATGAACCAAGCCCATACAATTCTATCACCCTCGCTGACCACATATTACAGTGACCTATCTCCATATAATATGAGGGAACGGACGTGCATAATATCCCGTATGATACGGGCCAGCGGACCATGGGCCCATGATAAAAATATCCTCAACTATGACAGATGGGCTGGGAGGGAAATTATTCCCGATGGAGGCGGGTGGGCCCATGCAGGGAATATATAGAGTAGATGAGTGGGCCGATGTACATGAATATTCGGTAGACGGGTGGGCCGAGGTAGTTGGATATTATGCAGATGGGTGTATTAAGGTAGATGTGTATGAGATAGATGGGTAGGTACTTGTTATCACATTCACGGGTGGGCCCAGACGCAGATTAAATTAGACGGGTGGGCCGAGGGTATTATAAAATATTGTATTAGACAGGTGGGCCCAGACGCATATTAATTAGACGAGTGGGCCGAGAGTGTTTTATAAAATATTTCATTAGACAGGTGGGCCGAGGGTGTTGTATGGGATATTGTATTAGACGGGTGGGCCCATGTGTATCATAATTGTAGACATGATGGAGCTGAGGTAGTTGTACATCAACCAAATCAGAGGAGGTAATAAATCAAAGTTACCGAGTTCCTGGAGCAGCAGGTGATCTCTTGATATGGCCTTTGCTGGTGCACAGGTTGTCTTGCAGAATGTGGAATCCTGGGTGCAAGGCTTGTGTTGCCTTACGAGACAAACCCACTTCCGACCACCGAAATTCTCCAAGTTCTGAGTTCTGAGTTCTGGGACCCGGGACTCAACACATAATTTAGTTAATACTTTCCATGTTAAATGGCCAACTGAAGTTGAGATGTTTCTGAAGAGAGCAGCAGGTGCTCTCTTGACATGGCCTTTGATGGTGTGTAGGTTGTCTTGCAGAATGTGGAATCCCAGGTGCGAGGCTTGTGTTGCCCTATGAGAAGCCAAGTTCCGACCACCAAAACTTGAGTCAACCATACCGAGTTCCGGGACCCGGGAGTCGACAAATGAATATCTGATATCCAGCACACTTCCAATCAGGTAGTATTTCATTGAGCAATGGATAATAATACATCTTTGACAGCCAAAATTATCCAAGGCTCCCTTATCTGATCCTCACTATCTCCACCCCCTTTAACACCAAAGTCTGGACATCCAGCATTCAGCGTCTGATTTCCCAAGATCAACATCCAGCATGAACGTTTCTTCCCCTTCCACTTCTGATAGCATAAACATCTGGCGCACTTGGGCCCTGACTGTCACTTATGAAGCAGGGGAATATACCGAACAGAAATTCAAGGCAGAGAAGACTGGAGAAGACCCAGTCATACCTTCTCCCAACCTAGACACTGATCTGGTGATGGCGTGTGATTGCTTGGCTGATGTACTCATAAAGGCATATAAAAATCCTAGTGGGTCTTCCTGCAGATTCGGAAAATTTGTTTTATCATTCAAATTCCTGCATGACAGTTCAGATGCAGATGGATATTGCAAGATATAGCAAATTGATCTCCCAGAATGACACTGGGCATAATGAACAGAGAGAGGCGAAGTTGCTTGAGAGGTGTCCTCCTGGCCATGAAGGCAAAAAGTTGGTCGACAAACCTGCCACAATTCTCGATGCATCCGGTGCCATCATCACATGGTACCTCCCAGACGCCCTGACCAACACCACCCAGGTGTGTAATATACATTGTTACTCAATGGATATTGAATATCAAATGGAACCTACAGAAGGAAATCAGGGAGGCCACCGATTTGCTAGCTCCAAGCCTCGAAAAAAGTGTAAGGGCTGATGGCAATTGGCAAACTAATCAAAAGTTGTTCAAACGGGGCTCGGACAATGTTAGCTCAACTCCCGGATGCATCAATTTATCTCCGGCATGGTTTCAACAGGGACACAAGGTAGGATCTGATGAGATGGTAATTCCAGCAGTCATACTCACCAATCCCAAAGAATGTGTCCAATCCGGAGGTATCTGCATCATTGAAGGGACCTTCCTGCGAGAATATCCTCAAAGCCATTGCAAGGCCAGCAGCCATCGCGTCCGCGGCACTCAGGGTCATGCATCCTGAGCAGTACTGGGCAGGGTTGCGAACCTTGTCAAACCTCAGAAATAAAGCAGTAAGCAAGGATCTGCAACAGATGCCGGAGGCCCTGCAGTACTGGGCATCCGTGTTTAACACCCTCTCCATCATTTCCAATCGGGAAACCCCCAATCATCGAGACCATTTGTCCATTGCTGAATGCTTCGACATTCTCACCACCGTGGGGAACTATTCTAATGCTCGGATGACAATGCCAAGCCTTCAGCTGGAGTTCAAGTACAATTCCGGCTGTATGATTGTGTTTTCCGGAAGGATTGTGAGACATGGAGTTTATGATGTGGAAGGGGATCGGATTGCTTGGGCATGGTATATGAGGGATTCTGTTCACATTTATGCTGGAGTTCCATCATGTGGATGGGCTAGTGTGGATGGTCCATACAGCGTGTGAAAGATCAAACAAAGAGCAAGCATTGTGACCTATATACATTCCAACAAATGAATACCATGTACCAATGGATATCCGGACCTCAATACTCGATTTTGAGCATTTGTGAAGTGATATATGGGACTCAATATTTTGGATGCGAGCCTCGGTATTCGATAATTGGAACTCGGGACTTGACATATGGGAGTCCCGAGTGCCGGGGTACTGAGTCCCGAAACCTGGAACTCGGCACTCGATATTTGAGACTGGGAGAAGATGTATAAGTATGCTTGAATTAACATTTGTTATTGCCGTACACATTTGACAGAACCCTGAACCCCGACATTGTGGACTGCCCGGGTTTCAGGGTTCGGGACTCGTGACTCGGAATTCAATACTTTGTTCTTAATACAGAGACCCGGAAGCCCGGGTCCCGAGTCCCGAGCCCAGCTTTAAAATACTTGATCCGGTCAGAAGATAGAACATTGTTGGCAGCTTCCATCCGATATTGAGAGATGCATGCACGGACGCGTGATCCAGCCATTGCCAATGTGCAGGAAATAGTTGCAAGGCTCAGCTTCAGGGGTCGGTAATGGCTTCCGGCATTCAGAGTGCCAGAAGTGGATGCAGGAGTTGCAGGCATGGCTAATACAGGACTATGGCGCTGGCAATGCAAGTGAAAGATGGTGAAGATGTGAAGATAAGAATCACTGATGGATGGATACGAAATTCAAACTCTGACATGGGCTGACCCAGACAATTCCCGGGACTCAATTATGTATGTGGAAAAAGGGACTTCATGAGAAAACAATGTTCATTCATCTCCAGCCTCTATCAACATGTTCTGTAGGTCTTGAAAAGCTGCCTGCGCATCCTGTGCAAGCAATGAATACATTTGGGATTGCCTTCCGGCGTAGCATCCATGACCCGGAAGGTGTTTCTCCAATGATTCCTGCATGTGGTCGCCCCATTGGGTTGCTTTCCACAAAAAGAAGTTACATGTCCAATCCATCTCCAATTTGACCAATATCATTTCTTCCCTCCATCGATCCCGTAGTGCCTTTGCCCAAAGCCAATGGACTCAGTAAACTTGGGATGGGTCCTGTCAGGTAACCGCGGGATATGACATGCAAGCAGGAACTCACATTCCTCATTCCACGATTGATCGGGACCCCTGAGGTCAACTTCAACAGACCAAAACCAAGCCAAAGATTCATTTCATTGACATCGGGCATTTGGGTCACCCACTGCAGTGCTGATTTTGAGTTGCTCGCGAAGCAGGGGTTTGTATTTCTGAAGCTGGTCTTGCCCTGGCTCAAGTTTCATCATTTGCTTCCTGGTCTTTGTATATATGCTGGCATGGAGGGAGACCACCTGCTGCACCGACGTCACCTGGGACCAAGCTCGAGTTTTCAGGGCCTGGGATTTGGCCTGCCTAACAGTTGTTCGGAACAGGATGGCCTTGTTGCACAGGTAAATTCGGAGATTGTGAAGGGCATCATTTGCCTGCCCTTCACGAAGCGACATCTCCAGGGGAATCAGATCCTCTGCCATGCATCATCTGCATCGATCAACCCCCAGGTTTGATGGCAACGGGATTACAGTGAGCTTGGGAGAGTTTGTCCATGTATGAGATGTCTCTGTGAAATCCGCCAGGTCATCATCGAGATCATCGAGAATGTCTACATTCAAGTCGTCAGGTTCATCATCTGCATCAAATCCCTCCCCGAGATGTGTTAGAGCAGACCGAGTGAATCCATCTATCTGGCCTTGGAGCCGATCACATTGACGGGCGATGTCTAATCTCTGTGTCTCCGTGGATCTTCTTCCGATCCTTCAGACCTCAATGAGCATTGCAATCTGAGCCTCTTCAATCGCCAACCCCGTTGATATCCACATCGCCACAGATCTGCGAGAGGGTGCCGCATTGCGGGCGTTACCCTCCTCTAATAATCTAAGCTCGATCTCCTTTTTGCTCGGTGCTGAGTGCAATATGAATTCGGACCTCGATGGAGACAATGGAACTCAATGTACCCTTTTTTATATTGATCTCATATTCATCCATCGCTGCAGGATCATTCACTCTGCTTGACTGAGCTATCCTCTCCCTGGCTAACCATTCCGTCTTCAAATGTGCGGGTGCTGCTTCATCAAGTCTGTCGAATGCCTTTCCACTTTCTGAGATGCCATTCCTCGCCAGCTTGTATTTCCGGCATAGAGTCCTTTTCATGCGAATCATCTTGCAGAATTTGGAGTCATTCATCTGATAATCAAGGCATTCCTTTCGGTGCGGAGATGACATTCCCCGAGCAGCAGGGGAAATCAGATTGAGCCTTGCCCATAGCGTCTCCATGATCTCTCCATCGATCCGACCAATGCCTTCAATGAAATTTGATGCATATCGGACATAGCAGCTGTCCTGATGGCCATGAATGTGCCACAACCCAATTCCGGGAATGATGGTTAGTTGCAGTGCCATTTCTAGAAATTGACTTCGATCCACCTGAACCCGAAAGTGTTTGTTGTATTGACAGTTGATATCGTAGAAGGTGACGGCCCTGGTGATGCCTTCCATGTTGTGCTGGGAAGCCTCGCAAAGGGCATAGTCCATGTTCATTTGTCTGCAAGTGACTCATGGTTAACTCGTGAATGTGGAATGGTGCATGTGGCTTGCCTTTCGCCTTTCTGAAAATCCACCATGGAGTGAGGGACAAAGCAACCATGTCGGGCACAGGCAACTCCCCCGATACCGGTGGACTCCAGCTTGTGCCGAGCAGCATTAGCTTGATTTACTGCCCGGTGGTTGTTGCAGCTTGATTTTTCCACCGTGTCAGCAGCCTCTGCCAGATGCATTTTATACCTGTTCTTTCCTACCATGAATCCAAGCCCATCAGACAGCCAAACTTCATCGAATGGCTTAATGGGATGCAGATGTTTGGCTTTGAAATTTCCGTCCATCACAAATGACCGGGTGTATTTCCAGCTTGGAGCGCTCGTATTATTGTGGAGGCCACATTGGTTGCGAACAGGACTCACTCATCAAGTGATTCATCCTCTGACAACAGCACATTAATACCAGGCTGAGGACATGCGGGGCAAAATAATGCGAGTTCTCCTGTGCTCAGGTTATGTTAAGACCGTGCACAAAGGGTAGGACTGATTCCAAGGGGCTTGGCTTCAGCTCATGCGCTGCGCCCCTTACCCGAGTATGTGCCCTTAACTTCAGAATGAAGTCCGGAGAAAGTCCAGTGAAGTCCGAAGGACTTCCGGAGGAGCGTGGGAAACTTCGGAAGGACTTTCCGGACGAGTGTGAGAAACTTCCGGATGAGTGCGGGAAAGTTCTGGAGGAACTTCCAGAAATTACGATGGAGTTTCGTCCTGATGGGGATATGTGTAATGGCTACTCAGGACAAGTCCTGAGTAGAAGCAAACAGAGGAAAGGCTGCAAGGACAAAGTCCGAAGCAGAATAGGTCCGGAGGACCGCGGGAAAGTTCTGGAGGAACTTCCGGAAACTTGGAGGAATGGTGGATTGGAGAATCAGAGGAGTGGAGGAGTGGAGGAGCGGAGGAGCGGAGGAGTGGAGGAGCGGAGGAGCGGAGCTTCGGCCTAGGGAATGCCTCCCTAGGCCTGAGATGGATAATGACTAAGTCGGAGGACTAGAACTGTTACGAGGACTTAGGGTGAAGGCTAGTGCGAGGACTAATATGTGTAATATTCAGACTAAGGAAATACAGGAGTATCTACTGGGGTTTATATACTAGAGGCAAGTCTGTGCAGATCAGTAAGCAGAGGGGTAAGGCTATGTACGAGCATGTGGAAATGTATTAGAAAATAAGACGGATCATAGGAAATGAACTCGGAGATGAAATGAGGTATGGAAAATGAGTATAGTCTAACTTGAGAAGGAATGTACAAAGGGAAAAGGCACAGAAGATAGACGCGGGTCGGATCCGGATGTTCGGAAGTCCGGAGACAGGTGATTACCATAAGGGGATGGGCGCTGATTTAAGGTTTGAGTTCGGACAAGACAGATAGGTCGGATCCGGAGATCCGGAGATGTGGATATCAGATCTGGCATCCGGATATCAGATGCAGGAGTACAGGGATCCGGACAGATAGAGGATTGGGTCTGGAGACATGGACAGGAGGTCCAGAGGTCCGGATGAGGCATGGGAACGTCGTCGGATGTTGGTCCAGAATGCGGGATATGACAGGTTATCGGAACGATGGCCAAAGCCATGCCATTTCATTGTCTTCAACTGCCTCCACTGTCGAGCGACCCTCATGAGCTCTCTGTATCGGTCCTTGCCATGTGCTTTGTCAATATGATGTCCAGTAGATGAAGAGGGTAAGGCATTACCGGAACAAGGTGTGGAAACATGCTCAAGGTCATTCGCCGGAGCTTGCTGTAATAGTTCATCACCGAGATGCTGCATTCAAGGCTGTCCAGTAGAAAATCATCGAGCACTCTGAAGGTGAACACAGTCTTCGGCCTGTTGAAAGATGCAGGGAAAAATCTGTGTCGAAACATTTGAATGTCCGGACTCATGGCATTCGGACAATCACAGCATCGAACCTCCAGGCGATGAACTCCGAACTTGTCGACGATGACCATGGTGTTTTCCTTCGGCTGGAACTCGGGTCCAGACACAAATGGCAGATCTTCAAGCTCGAGCAGGTCTTCAGGTTCATCTTCTTCGAACAAATTCCACTGATCTGTGACCGCCAGACATTGTTTGCCATCATGGCCAAGGTGTATGATGAGTCCCACATGAGCGAGACAACTCCACTCGAAGAATCGCCCATTCCATTGACTGATCCAGTGGAAAGGATTGCTACGATGTTGACTCCTGCAACAGCCCGTGCAATAGAGTGGCTCGCCAAGACAATCTTGACATTTGTACACCCCATCCTGTTCGCAGATGATGCATCTCCTGTCTTCTGGTGGAGCTTCTCAATCAAGGAGGTGATGTAGATATGATTCCTGCCTTGGCAGCCATTGCCTGAGGTAGTCATTTTGACTCTGTATTTTTGAATGCTTAGCCATAGTTTGAATGACACTCCAACATTGTACATGAATTTGCCATGGTTTTTGGGAGTTGCAAAGGCTCAAATGAGCCTTGGTCCTGCTGGTAAGTATTTTCAGGAAAGTCTTCCCAAGGAGGTGGTGCCTCAACAGGCTGAATTGTTGGTGATTCTGGGGGAGAGTCAGGCATGGACCTGTAGGCATGTCGCCTCGTGCTTGCAAGTGGGACCTTGACCCAAGTCTTCCTACCTTTGCTACCCCTTGCTTCCACCCTGTGAGATTTTTGCACTGGGGTGCATCTACCTATCTTCATCTTGTTTACTAATGTTGCAAGCAAGGCATCAGCTCAGGTGTAATGAATTGTTATTGCAATATGATGCTGTGCAGTCCTGTTGGCTCATTACAAATTCATTTCCATTAATGGCTTCTTGTCCAATATGGGCCGATTAACCGATCATTAGGCTTTGCTCAAAGTTCAACTTCGCACAATTCATTAATACTTCCACCTTGCAAATCCTCAGCCAGTTCTGCATTCTGATTCACTATGGCAAGAACAGGTCATTCCACCAACACGACTTCCAGAAGACACAGGGCGCGTCAACCACAGTCGCAGAAGCTCACGGACAAGGAGATTTTGGAGTTGAAGAACTACCTTCCTGAGTGGACTGCCGCCAAAAGGAGTGAGAAGCGAGGGATTTTCACTGCCATAGCAAGGGCGGCCAGGTTGTTTGCTCCTAAGGTGGACCAAAAACAATGGAAAAAGAGGAAGCAGGTGATGCTTCTTTGTTGTGTTGAATCACTAAATTTTCAACATCACATTCTTTCATCAACTCTTAGGTGTACAAGACTTGGTTGTTTAACAACAAGAAAAAGAAGGAAAGGAAGGACACCATAAAGTATGGGAGGAAATGGACACCCAGGATGGTGGTCTACCAGCAGAAACGCGAAGAGGTGCTGAAGAGGATTGAGGACGAGTCCGGGGTAAAGCCAGGAGATCCTGGTATGTTCAAACATTATCAGGCGGCGGTGAAGAGAGTCATGGCTGAATTGGACAATGATGAGTTGGAGAAGGCGAAAGGAACAGCGGAAGAGTGGTCCAACAACTGTCCGCCTCCGGAGATACAAGCACAAGTCGCCCATAAGAAGGGTCCAGCATATATGGAGCACTTTTTGAACGAGATGTGGAGGCAATGTGGGATGAGAGTTTTTGTGATGTCGGCTTGGAAGAATGAAAAGGGAGAGGTGCTGTTTGGGATGTGAGTACATTTACCCATTGACGTGGATCTTTCATCTCAAAATATTCATGCAGGCATGATGATAATGAGGCCTTAGGAGACAGGGACAGCTTCATGAAGACGAAGGACTGGGAGGATATTGAGCCAGTGTGGCAGGAGTATGCGCAGGAACAGTTCGGTGAGTGTTTGAACCATGTATACCAGATTGAACATGTTGAGCATCACGATGATAGGCGCTGGGGCACGGGATGGAGGACGTCAGGTCAAGGGAGGTCGAAAAAGAATTCGAAAACCAGCTTTCGAACTCGAAATGGATGGGGAAGGTATGCCGTTCCTTCCTGACATCACCGACATGAAACTTGAGGAGAAGAAGGCCATAGTGAAAGCCTTTCTTACATCGCACTATCGTGAGTTTCTCGTCGCATCATCCCACAAATTGTTCAATGCATGGACACAGGGATATGTTCCGGGAAGGACAAGGCGGTTGTGCCATGGAGTGCCATCATACAAAGTCAGGATGACTTCGTGGCCCGGATGTATCTTCCAGCAGATGTTGACTTGAAGGAGCCTTCCAAGCTGCAAAATTGGGACACGACTGCCTTGCTCCATTTCTGGCATGCTCGGCAGGAAACAGGTGAAGGTCCCACATTTCTGTTCAAAGCATGGAAGAACAAAGATGGGGACATGGTACCATCTGTCATATCCGGCAAGTCGCCCTCTCCTCAGACTCATATAGTGAGAAAGCAGCAGCGGGTTACCATCCGAAGGCCTCGGGATTCGTCGACAGAAGCCGAGAGTGATAAGGAGAGTGCCACTCATCATACGGAGGATGATGTGGATGATGACGTGGCTGACGGGAGACATCCGCTGAAGAAACCCAGGATGGGAGGTCCTACACCCAAAGGGACGGCAGTCCCACGTGCAATTCCAAAGCCTCGCCTGGCCAAACTGGCCAAAAAAGGTGCATTACTGACATCACGAATGGGCGACCTCCTTGCTGGGTTAACTGAAGATGCGACCGGCGAGGTTAGAGATAATGTTGAAATGGAAGAGAGTATCACACCACCGGCACCAAAAAGGAGGTGGGGCAAGACAGTCACGGTTGAACCATCCATGAGGACGACCCGGAGTAAGTTGCAAATGCCAGTAGACAGTACACCTAGAGTAACCAGAGCACGGGGATGCACTTAATGTAGATATATCTTCCTGCCCCCATGTGTACTGTCATATGTGCTATTGTGTATATGTCAAAGTACCAATGACCAAATCCCAAATCCCAAATCTCGAGTACTAAGTACTGAGTAGGTAAAGTATACTGCAATTTGTCTACTATCAGACATTGATTGATATTTACATGTTACTTGAGTCCTCAAAGAAGTCAATGAGGGTGTCTAATACCTTCAGCATTTCGGAGGTTGACTCCCTTACCCTTTGCATCCTCCGGAGGTCCACATCTGCTTTCCGGAGTTTGTCGCATGTTTCAGCCCATGCCATCCTGAATGGTCTGTCAGCCTCAAGAAGTTGTGCTACTGTAGGGTCAGGAAGAGTTCCATGACGCTGTTGGTAATCACCCAGGCGATCTACAATTGTTTGAACTTGCAGAAAATTAGCAGAGATAAATAATCAACTGTTGTATACTTACTTTCGGTTTGATCATAAGATCCGATTGGCATGAACTCCTGAACCATGGCACGCAGTGCTTCATTGTCGAGTGCCGGCTCGGGCGATTGACATTCGGGAGTTGCTGAATTTGCTTGGGAGATAACATGAATAGAACACATGACATGATATGAATACACGTACAAGGTATGGGTGCCTCTGGTACAGCTGGACTGGCCGGATGAGGTTCGGGAGTCAATTCATTCACTTGGGAAATGCCATGAAAAATGAACATGAGATGGAAAGAATAAACTCACCAGTCATTGGTAAATCAGGTACAGCCGGAGCATCATCAGACTCAATCAAGGTATCCTCTGGACCGAGATACAAGTCCGGGTCATCGTACAAGGTGAGTCCATCAGCCAGGGCCAGATATGATGGATCTGGAAATATGTGATGAATTTGCACATGTAGAATATGTACATTCAAATTGATAAACATACCAGGAATCGCATTCAATGCATCCGAACCACCGGATGACCCAGAATCAGAGTCTAACTCATCATCTGGCCCAAGGTATATATCATCTAATGCATCTAAAACATGTCCGATCAATCGAATGAAATAACAAAAACAAAACATACCAAGGGACATTTGGGACTTGGAGGACTCATCCACATCCATTGAGGTGCATTCAGTGACCAGAGGGTCATGAAATCTGACCCCAGGTTGATAGCTCATGATATCTGATGAGCTGATGAACTGATTGATAACTGATAACTTCGAAGTTCAACACATGGCCGGCGATTGCCGAAAGTTGAACCACGACCAAACAAAGACAAACAATCAACGATTTTCAACATCGTCCTTCAATTGTATTGTTTCTTTGAAACTTCATCCTAGTGATAAAAGATTTTACCCTGCTTTTGACATTCTCACATCTCTCAACTCAATCCAAATGTCTACTCCAGTTCAATCCTCATTGGCCGGCCTCAAGGCATCCACTGCTCAGCTTGTGGGCATCATTGCCGGCGCTCGGCACATCCCGGCCGGCACAGTGGACGTCTACCTTGCTCTGACAAAACAGGTCACCACTCTGTTGGTAAGTAGCACTCATTAAATTATTTTACCATTAATGTTTCTAATATCCAGGTAGGGTGACATCATCCAGGCGCATGAGAAAGGGGATTACATCCCTGGCATTGTGGCTTCCTGTTCTAAGGAGCTGATGAGGGTGCGTTCCATGACTCCCCAGGTGTTGCCCGACTGGCACAGCGTTGGCCATGATGACCCCCGGGTGTTGAGACACGCCTGGCGCAAGCAGGTTCGCACCTGGGAGGCGTTGGGTGACAATTCCTGTGATCTCCCTGTTGTTCCCAATCCTTCCACTGGCCCACTGACTGTCAATCTTCCGTCTCCACCTGTCCCTTCCCCCACACCTGTCCTTCCCTCCCCTCCCGTCATTGCCGGCAATGTTGCCAGTTCATCCGGCAAGACAACCTCCGAGTTCCGGGACAAAGGAAAAGGTAAGGCAGTTGCTGTTGACCTTGAGCCGGAAGTTGGGGGGAGCAGCAAGAGGAAGTCTCCCATGATTTCTGGACACTCCTCCCAAACTCCGAAGTCGGCGATGAAGGGTCGCAAGCGCGTCAAGTCAACTCGACTCGCCAAGTCGAAGCCGTTTGTGGAGTCGGAAGATGATGAAGACACAATTGTTCAGGTATGTGGTCTGGCTCATTTGTGTCATGCTCTCAATTTGTTGCAGCCAATTTCGCGTGGAGTGCCAGAGGTCATCCTTCCCCAGCTCTCCACCATTGTTGTAAGGACGCCCCAGTTGCCTCGGTCACCTGGTTCCCCCAAGAAGCAATCATTTGGGCCTGCTTTGGTAAGTCTGATTTATTCGTCTGGAACTCAAATATATGCTCATGCGTCCACAGCTGACTGCCAGCAGTCGTCTGGAGGTCATGGTGAGTCTTTTGGATTTGTCCGGAACTCACATGTATCATTTTCACTCATGCCCATTGCATTAGAAGTCTCCCATCAGTCGTCCGGAGGCTCCTGTAAGTCTTAGCAGTTCGCCCAGAACTCACATTTATACTAACAATTTATCAGGCAACCTCCAGCAGTCATCCGGAAGTCGTCGAGTCCTCTGATGGTACTTCCAGCACTTCGGATGGTGAACCTCCAGCCAATCCCACATTTGATATCACCATTCCCAGCCCAGTGAGTACTCCATTTAATTCCCCTTCGTCCATCCACTAACGGATCCCACAGACCAACCCCTGCCATTATTGCGTAAAGGAGGATTGGCCCTGCGCAACTCGTTTGGACAAGAGGTCCGGCCACCCCTGCTTGTCTTGCATCCGCTGCTCCACCAAGAAGATCAAATGCAACCCTGCATCTCTGGGATCCTTGCCCAAACGCACCCGAGGGAAGTCTACCACCGGTCGGACGTGTTCCAAGACACCTGCCCCTGCTCCATCCAATGCTCCATCTCCCTTGCAGTCAAGGGCCCGAACTTGTAGTCAATCTCGTGGCCCGTCCTGCACTCCGGCCATCCCTGCTGTGACTACACCCCAGGTGCAGTCACGTGGTCGCAGCAAGACCATCACTGCCAAGAAGACACCTGCACCTGCACCTGCACCTGCGCCAGCTTGTAAGTCACCCAAACTTTTAATGACCAGCTGACCTTATTTTTTACTTAGCTGTTCCGTCTTCAAGCTTTGCAGTGCCTCGTGCAGCACTCGATGTTCCCATGCCGGATCTCCATTCCATGGCAATCACGATTCGGGATGGTGCAGCTCGCATCGCCATGCTGGAGGCTCATGTGTGGGAGCAGGATGATAAGATTGATACCCTGCAACACCTCCATGAGAGCCTCCGGTGCAATGTGGTCGACCAGCACCCTTCATTTCCACTTCCGGACACACCTGCCAATGCAACAATCTTGCTTGATCAATCCAGTCCCCCCCATCCATGTCACCCCTCACCTCCGAACTTTTTAATCTCATTGATTTGGACATGTCAGTCATGGAACCCACACCCTTGACGGTTGAGGATGGATCTGCTATGGTAGGTCTCATGGTTGAGCCCACCCAAGTTCAGCCTGAGGGTCCACAATCCTCTGGCGAAATTGTGGTCCAGGATGAACCAGGCAACCTCTTGCCAGAATATAATTCTTCTGATGAGGAGATGGATGTTGAGGTGAAGGTTGAGCGTCCTCGTGAGGAGGTTGAAATGGCTACATAATTGCTCAGTGATAGATGTACATAAATCTTTTTCAATGCATGTTACCTATGCCACAATTGAATGATTCAATCATCGAGTCCTGATACCCAGAACTCAAAACTGTAGATTGAGGTAGATATCACCCGAATGTCAAATTTTCGTAGTGCCGAACCCCGAAATTGTGGACTGCCGGGTCTCGGGGGTTGGGGGTTGGCACTCAGGACGAGAAATTTGGGGAGATCAATAAAATTTGATCTACATAAATTTGATTTACAAACAAATTGATTTACAAACTTTTGAAAGATATCTGTGTCGTCTCACATATCGAGTCCTGAGTTCCGGTGAAGGTGAGGAATCTTGACTGTGGGTGAAAACACTAAAAGAAGGGGGCTCTACAGCAAGACCTGGATACGAGAATACAACTCGACCCAAAGGACAGCTACTGAGAGAAGTTCCTCGCGAATAAGGTGGAGGGAAACTCTGTCAACTAGACGGGCGCTGGTAGGCGCGAGAAGATAACGCGCACGTGAGCGATGCGAGGGCGCGTGAGATGCGAGGGGCGCACGCGTATGCGGAAGCGCACTTATGAGTGATAAGGGATGTGGTTTCAAGTATAGTAGAGGCGCGAGCTGTAGCAGATGGAGAAGTATAATCTGATTTCAAGTACTAAGGTGCACTATACAACTTGCAGTATACTGAGATAAATGGGGGGAAAAGTAGTAACCCAAGTAAAAAGAACTTCCCTCTATTTAAGAAGGGAGATAGCGCTATGCGGCGCTTCTGAGCGCGGTACCGAACCGAGTAACCATATCAACTCTAAATATAATCTAAAGTCTAAGATAGACTTTCTGTATGTAAGTGTGGGGATCAGACCGAGTGCACGTCAATTCAGTGAAAGAGATAAGAATAATGCACCAGTAAATCAGTGAGGACATAGGATGGACGGATGGACGGATGGGTAGGCGCGAGAAGACCTAAGGGGAGGCGCATGGACACGTGCAGAAGCGCGCAAGTGCATATAAGGCGCACGAACGAGGTGCATACGTAGGGCACGCGCGGGGGAGCGCGTATGACTGATCCTTCAGATAAGAGCTGGAATATGTAAGGAATATGTGGTTCATAGGGCTGTATGTCCGGCATTGAGAGGCGCGAGTCTCTACACTGGGACCCCCGAACTCCGAGACCCGAGACCCGGAAGTCCACAATTCCGGCACCTGGCACTCGGGACTCAATTTTTGAGATGAAAGACATTTTTCAAACATGTTTGAATCAACCTTTCGTATATCCATAAACATTTTACCAACCCCCAAACCCCGAAATTGTGGACTGCCGGGTCTCGGGTCTCGGAGTTCGGGGGTCCCGGAACTTGGGACTCGATATGTGAAACGACACAGATATCTTTCAAAGTTTGTAAATCAATTTGTTTGTAAATCAAATTTATCTTAGATCAAATTTTATTGATCTCCCCAAATTTCTCAAGTCCCGAGTGCCGATCCCCGACCCCCGAGACCCGGCAGTCCACAATTTCAGGGTTCGGGGGTTGGTAAAATCTCAGGGTTCAGGGTTCAGCACTGTGAAAATTTGACATTTATATTTTTGCGAGTGTTGTGCTTCTGGTGTCCGTGTGTAGAAATAGGATATGTTGCACACCAGGGTTCAGGTGTGGGGTTTTCCCACTTCAGTACTCGATTATTGGTCAATGCCACACATGGTCGATTCATGTTTTCATGCTTATGGGTTTAGATTTCGGTGGTCAATGGTAGGTATATGCACTCATAGTGTGCATGTATCCTACGTGTTTGATTCACTGGTGGCTACATCAGCTGTATGTCTTGATGAAATGTATCTAGGCTCACCCATATATGTACCCATCTATGTACAATTCCCCCACATCAGCCCACCCATCTATGTAATATCCCCCACATCAGCCCACCCATCTATGTAATATCCCCCATGTCGGCCCACCCGTCTATGTAATACATCCTATGTTGGCCCACCCGTTGACCTGCACCAAACTGGTTCAGTGCATGGATGACTAACACTCTCCTATGAGCCCTATACCCTATGAAACCATTTTCTCTATGACCTGAAGTCAGACTGAGGCTAAGGGAATATTTTTCGCTTTTTTCGCTTTTTTCATTTTTACGAGTTTTTACGCGAGCGGACTGAATATTTTTGTACATTTAATTCTGCGATGAGTTTTGCTTAGTCAGCCATGAAGATGACTCAGAAGATTCTCACACATATCAGGTGACTGTGAAAAATATGTTTGCGTAAGGTTACCCTGTGGGAAAGCTTACAAATCGCTAAATACGTGTCCTATGTCATTATGCCACCAATAAATTCATCAGCCACAGATTTCACAAACATACATACACAATATGTAATCATTTCTCACTCTTGTCTAGCTGAGTCATCAAGGGTCACCTGACCCATGGGCCATATACAGCTCTTGCTGACTCATCATTATACCAACTAGAGTTATGAATATTTACTTTTTGACCCAAAGAAACCGTGTGACTTGGTACTAACAAACTAAAGTTACAACTTTAAGTACGAGAAACTAGTAGTATAGCCACCAAATTTGTCTATATAAGGACCAGCTTTTTGCCCAATAAAACAAGCAGTTCCCCACTGTTTTTGACTCTCAGAATAAAATTGTGAGTGAAGTGTGAATCAGCAACCAGCAAGTGCAGTTCAAGGTTGGAGCTCACTGTGCTCAACAACCAGCACCACACTTTCGAGCTCATTGTGCTGAACATCTAGCACATACCTTGAGCTCACTGTGTCTGACGACTAGCAAGACTAATTTTTCTTTTTCTGTTTTCTCCTGATTGTCTGTCTGAATTTCTCTATTTCTTTTTGTGTCTTGGTTTGTGTCTCTGTCTGTGATTTTCTCTGTGATTTGTCTCTGTCTCTGTGTCTGTTTTTCTGAGTGTCTGTGTGTTTGTTTTTCTCTCTGTTTTCTCTGAGATTGTGTCTGAGATTCGTGACTGAAACTCGTGTTTCTGTTTCTTTTTCTCTTTCTCTCTCTCTGTCTCAAGTGTGTGTGGTGTGTTGGTGACTGTCTATACTGACCATCTCTCTGATCGCTGTCTGTTTGCTTTGTGATCGTTGTTGCTAACAGTCTCCGTGACCGTGATCGTGTTTGCATTTCTGTTGTAGCAGTCTTGTTTTGTTGTTGTCTCAACCTATCAACTTTCTCTCAATTACCAAAGTTTCAGTCTCATTCTTACCCAGAAGTTTGGTGTTGTCTCTTTTGTCCACGGAAGACTCTGATAGTCTAGTGGGGAGACTTTAGGTGTTGACGGTGATACCTGACCTCTTACACCTGTGTGTTATACCGATCGAGGGTAGTCATTTGCGAGTTAGACTTTAGCTATTGAAAAGGGGACTTGGTATTGAAGTCCAAGGTCACCTGTTCCTGAGTCTGTTTAATACTCATTGTGAGTTCCTTGGCAGCAGGTTCAATATTAGGCTAAGAGTGCTACAGAGGCTTGACTAGGCCGGATGGTAGTTTTACCTGTTTTTGTATTGAGGGGGACTCTCATTGTAACTCCACACAACTTGCTGCACTAAGTTTGTGTACGAATCCTTGTTGCTGTGTGAAGTGTTAGGAAGAGTGTCTGTTTGTTTTGTGTCATCTCTATATTGTTAGAGTGACTGTGTTTCCTGATTTGTTTTGTTGTTGTCTGTGTTGTTGTGATTGTTGTTGTTGTTGTCGATCGCTGACTGACCGAGTTCTGTGTTTTTCTCTCATCGCTGTGTTTCATATCCATATTGTTGGATTGACTGTTGACTGCTGATTGCTGACTACTGACTTTTTGTGCGAACCATATTCTACTGACTGAATCTTAGGAGCAAGGCAAGCCACCCATGAACAACCACATTATCAGTCATTGGTATTTGTCTGAATCGCTGACTGTGGAGATATTTGGTTTTATAGGTGTTTATCTATAGATCATCTATCTAAGAAGACACCGTCTATATAATACATCCTACGTCGGCCCACCTGTCTATATAATTATACCCCACCTCGGCCCACCTGTCTATGTAATAAATATTTATCGCACCCTTGGCCCACCTGTCTAATTAATATCCCTTATGTCAGCCCACCCGTATATGTGATATTCCACCACCTTGGCCCACCTGTCTATGTAATAAATATTTTATTGCACCCTCAGCCCACCCGTCTATTTGATATCCCTTACATCGGCCCACCAGTATATATAATACTCCCCACATCAGCCCACCTGTATATGTAATATTCCCCACCTCAGCCCACCCGTATATGTAATACACCCCCATCAGCCCACCCATCTATATAACAATATTTGCCTTACATCTCTCTTCAGCCCAGCTGTCTATAATATCCTACTCTACATATTACCCAGATGGGCCCACCCATCTCCATGAATGATCATATTCCCCCAGCCCATCCGTCATCATCGAGGATATTGTTAAGAACGTGCTCAAGGGTCGGATCCGAAGGGCTTGGCTTCAGCTCGTGCGCTGCGCCCCTTACCCAAGTACGTGCCCCTAACTTCCGAAGGCTGTCGAACGATGTCCGAAGGTTACTGGACGATGTCCGGAGGGCGTCGGGCGATGTCCGGAGTCCGATGTCCGATGCGTGGGAATTCCGGCGGACGTTCGGGAACAAGAGATAAGACTAATCCGGACGAAGTCCGAACTAGAAAGGAAACAGCGGAGGACTACCAAAGGTAGAGGCGGAGGTGACAAGTCTATAGGACTCAATCCTAAGACGAGCGGAGGTCGACGAGAGAGATACTCAAGTCGGACGGAGGAGAGAATGAGCAGAGTCTAAGATAATATTCGAACTGAGGAAACTACAGAGATTGTACAGGGGTTTATATACTACTGAGGACATAATGGAGAACAGTAAGTGCAGTGCGAAGCTATGTAAAGCTATGAAGAAAACATATGGGACGACTATCACTAGTCTATCAGAACTTAGTAAAATGAAGACGGAAATGAATAAGGGACGGAAAATAAAGTGTACT